CAATTAGCCCCAGGCTCTCCAGCCATTAAGGGGTGTGCCACCTTGTTACACTGCCTCTAATCTTATGTGCGGATACGCAAACCAAACTGGGACCAACCAGTTCAGTAAACTTCAGGGCAGATGTAGATTTATACTGTTGGGCCTGATCCAACAGTCCTTATTCAGCAAGCCTTCCAGTGACTTCAAGGAGAGCTGTGTCTTTATAAGACCCTCAAGTGCCTCAAGGGAGGGGTTTTCTAAAGCACTTTGTGTTGGCCTAACTTGGCTCCCATTGGCATTGGCAGTAAGACTCTCGCTGATTTCAGTGGGTGCAGTGCGTGCCTTTGATAATTGATAAATGTTAGCAAATGTGATAGTTGATGTAAAGTGACTTCTCTGTGCATTTATTTTCTGGAGGAAAGAGAGTGGGGCATAGATTTCTACTCCAGATAGGTAACTGTCGGTTCCCACTTATTCTGTGGGACTGATCTGCCTCCACTACTGGCTCTGCTAGGTTACATCTTCAGTCAGTTGGAAAGAAGTTTCTTCCTAGAAGTTTAAGATTGTCTACACTAGAAATGCTTCAGCTGCAGCTCTGCACCACCACGGTAGTGTAGACACTTAGGGCTGATCCACACTAAGAAGTTACATCAGCACAGCTACATCTCTCACGGGGTGTGAAAAATCCACACCCTGAGCAGCGTAGTTAAGGTGACCTAATCCATGGCGTGGATGGTACTAGTTAACCAAAGAATTCTTCCATCAACCTAGCCACTGCCTCTCAGAGAGGGGGATTACCTACAGTGACAGGAGAACGCCCGTCACTGTGGTAAGTGTCTACACTGAATTGCTACAGCGGTGCAGGTTTAAGTGTCGACATAGTCTTACCACAGTGATGGGAGGTGTTCTTTCATCGCTGTAGTTTTCTGTCAGTACCAGGTTTTAGGTAGGCTTAATTACATTGCACAGGGAATGAATTAAGTGTAGATCAGCCCTAAGTCTGTAACTGATGAGTTGGGTTTCTTCAGTTTACAGGAATCCTGTTACAAGCATCTAATTATATATATACCATTTTCAGCAAAGCAGTTAATTCAATTCAAACTCAGCCTTTATTTTCCTCTTCAGAGTGGGATGGGGCCATTCTCACCCCTTGCTGGTTTCACATAAAGGTTGTTAAAAGTGCAGTTTTGATAGACTATTTCCAAAAAGAAAAACCAATGGAAACATATCAAAGCAATAGACTGAAAAGTATGTTTGCAAATAAAATATATGCAAGAGAATTTGTGAAGAGAGGGGAGGCTGAGCTTTCCTGGTTCAATTTTTAAATGTCCATCTCTCCAGAGGGGCTGTTGCTCTAGTGTAGTGTTTAAATTAAATTCCCAGTCTTTCAAGACTAGATCTCCTCCTAAAAAAATATGTTTTAATTTGATCACAAGTTATTGGGCTTGATGAACGTTTTACTGGGTGCAATTCTGTGTGGTCTGTGTTATGCAGGAGGTCAGACTAGATGATCATAATGAGCTCTTCTGACTTTAAAATCTATGGAAGTGCTGTTATAAAGAGCAAACAAGCATTGTAGTCTTTACGGGTAAGATCCCAAATGGGTAAGAATGAGATTCATGTGTGTGCAGAGGGCCAGCAGAACGGCTGTGCCCCCTTAAGCTAATCTTAAATGGGATTCAAATGGTGCATAGGCCTTAAATTTACTCCCAAGAAACTGTTCTACAACAAAGTACAAAGAGCAGGGAAATGCTCTGATCTAAGTGTTGGTGACACCAGCATATTTTTGCAGGTCTTATCAGGTATAAAGATGGTGATAAGTAAGTGGCCATCTTGGAGTTTACCAGTTGTCACTTGGTTGCACATTACCCGTCACTCAGAATTTCAGGGTGATGGCAGGGATGGGACTTGGATCCTCCTCTTACCAGTACAAAGATCCCTGACACTTGAGCTAATAGTAAGACGGTGGTTGCGTGGTTTTTTTTTTTTTCCAGTTTGAATCACCAGGAGTTGTCAGACCCTCAGTTTTGCATCCAGGGAGGGAGGAAGCGTGTCACTATGGCTTCAGTGTGTTACATCCCCCTCTAGTGGCTGCTCCCCAGAGAGGCATTACTCCTCTAGATCAGAGAGGGTTGTGGTTTCGGTGCTGAAGGTCCTACCTTCAGTCCCGACTGAGACTCATCGTGAGCCCAAGTGCTGTTGTGGGGTATTTGGTTCTGAACTGACACAGAAGTAGTAATGCCACATACGGAATCAACCACGTCGTGACCAATAGCACCCTGGGTTTTCTTAGAGCTGTCCTAATTGAGTGCAGACCTTCTGCCCTTCTTAGGTTGTGAGAGCTGATAAGATAATAGCCCCCAATAGTTTACATGGTTTTTTTTAATGTAGTAATTGTCCATTTTTGATCTATATGAATATTCTATTTTTTTAGGTCCTCGAGAATGGTTTGAAGTTTATGTGCAGAAGCTTTGCTACCCCCTTTTTAAAATTGCTTAAATATTATAAATGCTGATTTTGTGTCAGGAATGTTTTACGCATGATTTGCTTTTTTTGAAAAATTATTTGCATGGCCATCTTATGAGAGAGATTCTTACACCTACCTCAGAAACCAAACCTGCCATTCTTTGGTCTGGGGAGTTTTTGCAATAGCTCATGCGAAATGGTTCAGTGACTCTCCATTAAAGATTTCAGGGGCAGGGTAAGGGGGAGAGTACAACGCATGTGATTCATACGTGGGATTTTCTCTTCCTTTGTGCAGTGTGAAGTTGTGGAGGTGTTTGGGTTTTTTCTCCCCCCCCCCAGGCACCCCTGTGAAACCTCCGACAAAGGCATGTGCTATGACTCAGCCCCCTTGGGAGACCCTTTAGGGGTTCCCCCCACCCCACCATTAGAGATTTCACATCTTGAGAAAGTCCTCTAAGAGGTTTAGACTTTTTAATTTTGTGGCTCAGCAGACTTTACCAAAATGCAGTCAGTGGATGGAAAGGTCGTATATTAATGGGTGTGAAAGATTAAGAATTTGCTTTTAGCTGTTGCTTAAGTTAATAAGATATTTGAGAAAAGAATCATTTTTTAGTAATGTCAAAGTCTGGCTGCTGTTTTGGCTATAGACAATGCATTGCCAGGAAAGGATCCTGACCCAGTGATCTGCTGGTGTAATGAATCTATTCACAACATGAACCTAGGCTTGTTCCTTTTTCCAGTCTTTTTCTTAGGCCAGCAGAGACTAGGAACATGACAGTCAGAAACACTACAGTCTGTGAGTTGTAGAGTTATAGGGAGTGCAGCTTAATGCATGCTTTAGGCCCCGATTCAGTAAAACATTTAAGCACATTCTCAGTTTTAAGCACATGAGTAATGCCAGCCCTATTCACCAAAGCAGCGGAAGTCTGTGGGGATTAGGTTTGTGTTTAAAGTTAAATTAATGCTTTAGGCCTGCTTTACACATGGATTTTGTATTGGTATGACTATTTTGGTGAACTGTTGCTACTGAGAGAGAGAGAGCAATGTAATTCCTAGTGTGGATGCAGTTGGCATACTGGACTGGAACTCAGGAGACCTGGTTCTGTTGCAGGCTCTGCTACTGGCCTCATGGGTGACCTTGGGTAGGTCACTTTAATTGCTCTGTTCCTCAGTTTCCCCTTCTATAAGAGGGGAATAATGTTATAATGACCTTCTTTGTAAACATTTCAAGCTCCGTGGATGCAAAGCATGATATAAGAGCTAGGTATTACTATATCAATATAGCTTATTCCTTTTATAGGAGAGGCAGTAAGCTATACTGTTATAAACATTTTTATGCAGCTATAGCTGTGTCCACCCCAGAGGTCCGAGGGGGTAGATTGTAACACTTTAACTCTACTGACATAGTTAAAGGAGTTTTTTTACTTTGTGTGTAGATGAGGCTTTAAGTGCTTTGCTGACTAGTAATGGCATTACTCACGTGCTTAAAGTTAAGGATGTCCTTTTTCTTAAATGCTTTGCTGAATTGGGGCCTTCATGCTGCCATTGCACTAGTTAGGGACCAACATGGCCAATGTCTGGGTAACAGTTGTTTTTCATGGAACACTGTCAGACCAGTGAAACTCGCTCAGTTACTGTTCATGCCAAGGTGCTTGTTTTTAATTACACTGTTCCTCCGGGACTTCCGCAATCCGACCTTGGGGGGCACTTGGCACTGAAGCAGCGGGATATTTGAACGCTATCTATTTCTATCTGGGGCAATGTCTAGAGCATTTTATGAGCCTTCTACTACTCTGTTTACAACAATAAAAACATTATGGAATATGTGATCTAGCTGCTGGATTTTAGTCCAGTGGCTTAGTGAAAGAGTTGATGTCACAAACTGGTGCAGCTTGGAAATACGAGCGAGCACAGCTAATGAAAGGGTCTTGTCCAAATATATTGAAAATCTTCCTTTGCCCAGTCAGGGGAGCAGTCCGCTCCTTGGGATCTAATGTCTTATCCTCTGTGCTTGCAGAAATCCTTAGCTTTCTGTGTTTAAAGAAGTACGTTTGAGTATAAGGATCGGATTGGCATAGGATAGAATTTGTAAAGCGTTTGCTTGGTGACTTTGAGGTTTTGTATGGAGTTGATATTGTAGCCACCTTCACCAATAAATATCAGTACCTGATCCCATTCGCATGAAATCAGAGTTTTGCCTTTGAACCTAATTAAGTCAATGGAGCCCTTGATGTGAGAAAATGCACAGATGTGAATCCTATACCTCGCTTCAGAACAGCTGCTTGTAACAGGTTATTTAATAGAGAGTCAAAGCAGGATTGTACTGTTTCTCTCTTTATCGTGGGGTTTTGGACTGACTCCCATTCCTTTAGTGGGGGTGTGTTTTTACAGTAAGATATTTTTCAGATGATTCTCCCATCCATTTCCTTTCTGCAGTCGTGATTGCTGTGCCTATAGTTCCTCTGTCCTTTATTACTGTCCCAGCTATGCCCTCTAAATGCTTTCTTGATTTTACTTCTGTATTAATGTTTCCTTTCTTCTTGTTTTCTTAACAGATCTGTCTGGAAAATATGAACCATGAGACAAGCTGGGTCACCATTAGATAAGTATTACTGATGACTCACATTGTTATGATGTTGATAGGAATGTAGAGTTTGTGTGTGTTTACTTAAAGTACTGGAGCATAAGTATATATTAAAATATATGAGACAGTTGTCCAATGGCTAGAACACAGAGCTGGGCGGTAGGAATCCTGTCTTTTGCCCCTCACTGTTTGACTGGTTGGCCATGTGTCCTTGGGCAAGTCACTTAATTTCTTTGTCCCTCAGTTTATATGTCTATATAGTTAATGCTGATATACTCCCCTCCCTCAAGTGGGATATGGGGAGGGTTAGTTAATTAATATTTGTAAAGTGCCTTGAGACTTACAAATGAAAACACTAGAAGTGCTAAATTATTGTAGTTATTGTGGATATTTTTAATACTGGCAGTTAGTGGCTTTCCTGTTTTATTTTTTTTCTTTCCAGCACCTTATTCCCTTCTCCAGAACAGTGACTGAAAGAGTCCTGAAGCAGGTAAGGAGACAGATGTTTTGTTGGGAGCATATTACATTTGATGCACAAGGGGTGAAATCCTGGCCCCATTGACATCAGTGGCAAAACTCGCATTGAATACAGTTAAGATAGGATTTTGCCCTGGGTACCTGTGCTCATTATATCATCTGAATTCTTGAATAAATTCAGAGCAGAAGGCCCAGGTGATCTGGAATGTGTCCATGTCTGCAAGAGCACAACCAAAGAGTGACAGAACTTTTTGTATGTCACAAAAGGTTGAAGCTTTGAGGCTAAGCTTCAGGTTGGTGCATTTTATTTAAAAATTAAGTTTCTCCTCTAAAACCATCAGCAAGAGATTCTCCTTTTGACCTTCCTTCTCTTTACCCTTGTATGGGAACACACAAATGTGAATAAAACGTGTGTTTCTGGAATTAATCACCGTCTAGTAGAATTTACGGAACATCATCCTTATACTCTCTGCCTACTCACTAGCCTTCCATGCCAAGAGTTGTATATTTAAAACTGATTACATAGGTGATCTATAGGACCTGGGGGCCCTGATTCCTGAATGAGGCCTCTGTGCATTACCACAATAAAATAACAAGTGGTAATAACAATGACGAAGCTTTGGCCAGGGAGAACAAATATGGTTGAAGGTGATAGTTGCAAAGAGCTGAAGAATTGAATTGGAGAGATACAGGACGCCTAGGAGATGTCAGGAGCTGCGGAGGAGAAGGCTCTGGCATCACCAGTGTCAAAGTTATGTGAAGGGACAGAATGGAGGTTGGCCTTAAATGGGAGCAAAGATCTGTGAAGAAGTTGGAGCAAGTCATGGAGTTTTAAAAACCAAGGCGAGACGTTTTGACCTGGATGGCGAGTCCCTGAGGGGAGCGTTTGAGTATGGGGAGTGAGGGAGTCGTGTGTGTTTGTACGGGAGAGAAGGCCGGCATGGGCATTCTGTCTTCATGCTTGTTTGTCCTGCTAGTTTGTTTTATTCACCAGGTGTATGATTTGAATCCCTGTTGTCCATCACAAGTTTCCCTGTCTATTCTAGACTCTAGAGCAGTGTTGGGGGATCCAGTTACAATATTCCGTGTAGTAGTGTAAATGGGAACTTACCTATGTCTCTGAATGGGATATGCCCAAGGCTTTAGCACCATTCGACAATATAGGTACCATGTTATGTCCTACCCTTGCTACAAAAATGAACCATGTTGTTACAGTGCAGGGGAAAAGTGTGTTGTAACAGGGTCCCCAGTCTGATTCGATTTGTTATGTAGATGTGGCCATGCTGTTTGTCAGTGAAGCAGAGATTGCTTCTGTAACCCTTTTGGTTCAGGAATCATCATTATCTATTCATTTGAGGCTGACTCGTCTCACTGCAAAAATGCTGAAAGTGGAACCTTTTAAAAAAACATTTTGCTTTTCAGAGACTCTAGATCTTCTCTCTCCTCAGGCAGTGAATGCAGGGCTCTGGTCTCAGAAATGTTATTGGAGAGATTTTCTAGTTTGACATGTCAGCCTGCTCCACTGATGGTAAAAATGAGTTTTTAAGAGCTGCTAAAGGCTCTTTGCCATTGCTTGGTGGAAATACTCTGGGGGTAAGGCAGTGGAAATCCCAGCCCCTCCTCTCTTTACCTTTTTGGGTATTCTCTGTGGAGGGGAGGATTCCAACCGGAAGTGATATTCTGGTGCTTCCCCTGTGCACTGTCAGAGGTTTAGTTATTCAAATATGGCTCTCAGGCGTATCGCCCTGCTGCACAGTGCAGCTATGAGTTTGAGGTGGCTAATCAAAGGGGCTTTCCAGACACATAAGCCATTATTAGCAAGTTTACACTTAAATGTGTCTGTGGGTTAAATCTGCGAACTGCGAATAACTTACAAACGGCTGCTCAGCCCTGAAAATAATACTCTCGCAAAGTTTCCGAGAAGCGTTAACAACTTTCCTAAATATTTTTACCCTTGTGAATTCTCAAATGTTCCTTTGCACTGAGAAGTTTTTGAGAACAATATAGAGCGCACGCTCGCTCGCGCTCTCTCTCTCTCTCTCTCTCTCTCTCTCTCTCTACTACTACTAC